TGGGAAGTCAGCCCAGCTGCACTGACTGGTCAGCTGTGAGATGTGCTCTGTTTAATCAGTGCCTTAACATAGGAGGTAGCTTCCTGTCTAAACCATGTCACCCTGGGGCAAGCGGCTTTAGCTGTGGTATTCCCCAAGGCCTTTCTTACACTTGCTGCAGGTGATTGACTAGCCCTGGCCACGTGGTCTTGCTTCCATGTTGACACCAGAGCTGTAAATCCCGGGCAAGCCCTGGCCTGAGGCCCCCCCCCTTCCCCACCCTCTTTCTCATTGCGGAGGCCGGTTGAGCCTGCTGCCCCGTGTCTCCCTATTCCAAGCACACCCTCCTCCCTGCAGCTCCCTGCCTTGCTGGGTGGTGTCTCAGTTTAGGTCAGACTGATCTCTCCCCTGGGCCAGCTGAACCCCAGGCAGTAGGAGAAGCCACATGGAGCTGGGACTTGCACCTGGAGGTGCTTTTTGCCTTGGTAACAGCTGGGTGGTGGAAGGGGGCAGATCTCATTGCTGTGACTTCATTCGTGGAGAAAGGAGGGAGAAAGCAAGAATTAACAGTGGACAGGGGGTTTCTTTGGGCCAGGTGACCCCTCCCTTCTGTGTCACATGGCTGTTTTGTCTCCATTGTCCAGTCTCAGGCGAGAGCTGCTCTCCTGACTTGTTCTAGGATTAAATCCTGGTCCCTGGGCTCATGCATCTCCATCCTGCTGCTGCTGGCCTTTCTGCCTGCCTCATGTCCTGGAGTGGTTCTTTCTCTCTTGTCCTCGTGACTGACCCACCTGCAATTGGTTGGGGCTGCTGTCATGCCTCTGCATAGCAGACAGCGGCCAGCCAGCGTGGTGGGATCTGATGGGCTGCTCCGTGTGACTTGTGTGCATTCAGGGCCAGGAATATATAAATGTTGCAGGCATTCTTCTTCTTCCTTTGCAGGGTTGAACTCGGGATGGGAAAGGCAGGTTTAAGGTTCCAGGGTTCCACTTCGACTGCCCAGCGCGCAGATGGCTCTGCTTTGATGTTTCCCCTGTCTTCCCCAGCCTGGCCTGGCATACAAGCTGCCTGTTCTGGAGAGTTGCCTTCCTTGCTGCCCATGCAGGGTGGCACTTGCCTGCTCTGCATGAGTTGGGTAACTTTGGGGCTTGTCCATTTTCTGTTATGTGTCAAGATGAGGTGGGGGTAGGGCAAGGCAGGGCAGGTAACATTTCGGTCTGTGTGTTCGACTTGAATCCATGCACATCATTGGGCAAAGCCTGTGCATAAGGGAACGTAGGGGCTGAGCACAAACCGCAGCCCCATACTGATGGCATAGTCATAAAAAATAAGGGTTGGAAGTAACCTCAGGAGGTCATCTAGTCCAACCCCCTGCTCAAAGCAGGACCATCCCCAACTAAATCATCCCAGTCAAGGCTTTGTCTAGCCAGGTCTTAAAAGTCTCTGAGGTTGGAGATTGCACCACCTCTCTGGGTAACATGTCCCAGTGTTTTACTACCCTCCTAGTGAGAAGGTTCCTCATAATATCTAACCTAAACTTCCCTACCCTTCAGGTAGTCGAAGGGGGCTATTAAATCCTACCTCGATCTTCTCTTCTCCAGACTAAATAAGCCCAGTTCCCTCAGCCTTTGCTCAGCAGTAATGTGCCACAGCCCCCAACCCATTTTTGTTCCCCTCTGTTGGACTCTCTTCGATTTGTCCACATCCTTTTTGTAGTGGAGTGTCCAAAACTGGACACAGTACTCCAGATGTGGCCTCATCAGTGCCAAATTGAGGGGACTAATCACTTCTCTCAGTCTGCTGCCAGCAGTTTCATAGTTTCATAGTTGGTAGGGTCAGAAGGGACCTGAGCAGATCGAGTACAACACCCTGCCATGGGCAGGAAAGAATGCAGGGGTGAAACGGCCACGGCTAGGTGATTATCTAGCCTCCTTTTGAAGACCCCCAGGGTAGGAGTGAGCACCACTTCCCTTGGAAGTTGGTTCCAGATCTTAGCTGCCCTGACAATGAAGTAGTGCCTTCTGATATCTAGCCTGAATCTACTCTCCGTCAACTTATGGCCGTTATTCCTTGTTACTCCGAGTAGTGCTCGGGGGAACAGGGACTCTCCCACTGCCTGCTGGTTCTGCCTGACAAGTTTATAGATGGTCACCAGATCCCCTCTCAGCCTTCTGTTGTGGAGGCTGGACAGGTTCAGGTCTCGTAGCCTCTCCTCATAGGGCCTGCCCTGCTGCCCCCGATCATGCGAGTGGCCCTCCTCTGGACCCTCTCTATGTTGTCCACATCCCTCCTGAAGTGCGGTGCCCAGAACTGGATGCAGTACTCCAACTGTGTCCTGACCAATGTCATATAGAGGGGGAGGATCACCTCCTTGGACCTGCTCATGATGCATCTGTGGATGCATGACAAGGTGTGGTTGGTCTTCCTGTGTCCCCACATTGGCGGCCCATGTTCATCTTGGAGTCTATAATGACTCCAAGATCCTTTTCTGTCTTTGTGCTGATGAGGAAAGGAGTTCCCCAGCCTGTAGATATGCTGCTGATTCTTTCTCCCCAGGTGCAGTACCCTGCACTTGTCAGTATTAAATCTCATCTTATTCTCACCCGCCCACCCCTGTAACCTGTCCAGATCCAATTGCAGTCTTCTAGCATGCTCACTTCTCCCCACATCTTAGTGTCATCTGTGAATTTGAACAAGGTGCTTTTCACCCCCTTGTCCAAGTTGCTGATGAAGCTGTTGAACAGTGTGGGCCTGAGGACCAAGCCTTGGGGGACCCCACTGCCCACAGCCCTTCAGGTTGAAAATTACCTGGCCACTACCACTCTCTGGGTGCGGCCCTCCAGGCAATTGGTGACCCATCTGACTGTGTAGGCATCGATGCCACTGTCTCCTAATTTTTTAACAAGAATGGGGTGAGAGACAGTGTCGAAGGCCTTCCTAAAGTCCAGAAAGACTACTTCCACCGCAACACCTGCGTCCAAGGATTTTGTGACCTAGTCATAGAAGGCCACCAGGGTGGTCTGACAGGACCTGCCTCTAATGAACCCATGTTGGTTGCCCCTCAGCATGATCTCCCCTGCTGGCCCCTCAGAGATGTGCACCTAGATAATTTTCTCAAAGACCTTCCCCAGGACTGAGGTATGACTAACAGGCCTATAATTTCCTGGGTCCTCCTTCCTCCCTGCTACCTCATGCAGCACCAGGCTCAGTCCGCTCCCAGACCCTCCGTGCAATGCCTCCTGCACCGAGCTCCCAGCCTTGTGCTGGGGGTTGAGGACCTGAGCCACCCAAGCGCTCCAAAGATCCTGCTCTGTGCACCGGCCTATGCACCATGTCTCTGGCCGCAAACCAGAGATTGCAGACCCGAGCCGCCTCACACAGCTCCCGGGGTCTGGACGTTGTGCGCCGTGTTGCACACCAAGATCCTACCTGATGGAGCCGTCCGCTGTTTCCCGCTAATGGAAGTCTTCAGGGGTGCTTCTGGGCTACTGCTTTGCCTTGCTGAGCAGCTCTCCTCAGCCCTTCTAAGCCCCGCTCTTCTCTCTCCTCTGTCCCGGACACGTCTCCCTCATGCTGGACGCGCAGCTCCTTTTATACTCTCGTAGGGGATCCTGGAGCCCAGTGGGGAGCCTCTCCTGCCAGCCGCACACCATGCCGCTGAGGACCCCAGTGCTGCCTGCAGGTCCCACTCCTTCAGGCTCTTCTGGGGCAACTGCTCCCACTCCGCTGGCTCAGCTCTTTCCTTGTGGTCCATCACTGGTCTCTTCCCTGAGTCACCTGCGCTGCCCCTTTTATCCCTCTCCAGGTGACCCACAGGGCCAATCAGGGGACATGGAGGGTGAGTCTCTGGGGCCTGATTGGTGAGGAAAGGGAATCCCAAGTCCTCCAATCATCTTTTACCCCTTCAAAACCCCTGGGCTAGGTCACTACCAGCCAGCCCATCACACTTGTACATAGTTAAGTCCCCTGACTGTCCTGGCCTCATTCTATATGGATGGAGGGAAACTGAGCGGTCTGCAGTTCCCCCACAGCACACCTGCCAGCTAACAATTCCCTTCAATTGCAGAAGGGGAGTATATACCTGAGTACACCTGGCTACATTAGGAAGAACAGGCTGCGTGGGCTTCTCAGGCTCTTCAGCCTCTGGTTTAGGGGGTGGTGAATCTTGCCCAGTTTGGTCTAGTTCGATGTGGGACGCTCAACCGTTGCACTCCCGGTGGCTCATCATGACCTGCCCTTCACTCTAGCTCTGTCAGTCATTTCTGCTGTAGATTGCTGTGTTAGTTAGAGACATAGTATTATGTGTCTAGGATGGTAGAGTCCTTTGGTGGCCTTGGCCAGGGCCTGTGATGGCCCTTGTACATCTGTCCTTCTCTACCACCTAGCGTAAGCAGTTGCTTGGAAACCTTTGCAAGGCTCAGCCCCTACCCCATCCTGAAACTGAGCTGGAAGGATAGCAACTGTCCTTGTTTACCACCCCTAATGGAGGGCAAGGTACCCTAAGGGAGCAGCTATCCTAGCCCAGACTGAGCATCATGTAGGAGAGGAGAGTGCAGTGTTGCAGCACTGGTGTTAGGAGCTGTGTGTCTGATAAGGTTATAGCCTGGAGCATGATGAACAATGCAGTGTGTGCATTGCTGACACCTTCCCTGGGCTCCCCTCCTTAGCACTTTGTCCCCACTTGGAGGCTTACTGCAGCACATGGAAGTCAGGCCAGTCTTGCAGCCATAGCTGTAATGCATGGGACTGGCATTGGGCCTTTGGGGCTGAACCCAGCACCCCAAGACCAAACTGCAGTGGGCAGTTAGGGAAAACCAGCAGCACACCTGCTTGTATGGGTCCTATCCGGCTCCAGTGCTGCCATCCCCTGTCAGTATTGTGTTGTGGAAGCAAACGGATGCGCACAGTAAGAAAAGACGTCACAAGCAGGGCTGACATGTCACAGATTCTAATATGCTGCTTCTGCCGCAGCAGGCAGGCAAATCCCAGCAGTCCCACTGGTCCCATGTACATGGGCTTCAGTCATGCGGGCAGGGTTGAAGATTGAGAGAAAGGATGGCAGAGGCACATTTCCAGAGCACCTTGAGATGTGTTGTCTGCAGAAGATGTTCAGGGTCTGTGTCTTGACTGCTTGGCTCCATCCAGCCCAAGCTGTGGGGAAGGGGACAGCTGGGACTAGGAGCAGCTGCTAAGAAAGGGCCAGTCAGCTTTACAGATCCTTAGGTGTCTGGCTGCTGCTGCGGTGTCTGGGATGGGAAGGCAGGGGCCCAGCTGGGAGGCCAGGCTAGGGGCATCAGCGAGAATTTCCTTCCTCTGTGCCAGGGGCTTTAAAACGACATGCAAATGTCCCATGAAGCAAGGATCAAAGTCAATTGGCTCCCTCTGCCCTTCCCCTCTTCCCCCAACACTGCACCCCACACTTCTCCATCAAGAAGAAAGAATTATTTGATTAGTGGAACAGCAAGACCATTAAAAAAGGAGAGAAGGTAGTTAGCCCTAATGAAATAAAGAGCTGAAAGGAATCAGGATGATTAAAGTGAGCAGTGAAGTCAACTGTTTCCCTGTCTGCTGCCTGAATAATAATGCTGCTGCCACTGCTAGCAGTGGGCTTCCCAGGGGCTCTCAGTCCTCCTATCAGACAGGCTCATGCCCTATCCTCACAACAGCCTTGGAGCCCTGTTGTCTTGAGCCCCCCCGAAAATGCCTTCACTTCCTTCCCCTGCCTCTGGCCCTGCAGCTCTGTGGGTTGGTTCCTGTATGACTTCTTGCAGTATTTGGACTTGGGAAGGAATTGTACCCCATGGTCAAGTTGGTATGGACTGGACGTTTTGCCTCCCTCTGTAACAGGGGCCATGGTCCTCAACCCGAGATCTCTGGAGCTTATATTAACCACCTTTTACAGCAGCAGGATGTTGGCCACCGGGTCTCCGTGCTTTACCTGTGGCAGGTTAGGGTACTACATCTTGCATTGTGTCAGGGCTGATGGTAGCTTTATTAGAGGTTAGATTATGGATTTGTATGGGATGGTTTGAATAGGGATGAGCCTGCCTCAGTCAGGGGTTGTTAAGTGGGGTTACCCCGCTATGGGGTTCCCGCAGGCGGGTGTGGATGGAGTGCCACCACCTCATATCGCCGCCTCCCAGGAACAGGGCTGGGTCAGGGGCAAGGGCAGTTGTATCCCCCTGGTGGCAGCACAGGTGCCACCAGCCCAGCTGGACACGCGCGGTGGAGGGGAATCTCCACCCACCACTTTGCTCCATGTCTGGCCATGCACCATACCTCCTGCACCTGTTTCGCGTCTGGCTGCCGGGGGTACACCTAATTAAAAAAGGTTGAAAACCCCTGTACTAGATGACCTATGGAGGTCCCTTCCAGCCCTACTGCTCTGAAATTCTGTGATCAGTTCTCACACTGGAGAACTTGGTGTTAGAGCTGTGGGGACCTGCTGCTCTCCACCCTGTAGTCAGGGCTCTGGAAACATCAGAAATGGGAATGGACCTAGTGAGGAGGCAGTGTTAGCAAAGGTCAGGTGCCGCCAGTGCTGCTACCAGGCTAGACTGCAGGCACATTGCACTCACCTGAGCTGCACGGGGCACTGTATTCAGCTTCTGTGTGTTCAGCTGTAACAAGGAGAGATGTATGTCAGGAAACAAAGGGGTGGTCTCTCTTTCAGTGGTCACTCATGTCAGCATGGGTTTGCCCTACTCTCACCTACACTCACACATCTAGGTGGAAGCATCTACAGGATGGGAAAAACTTAGGTCCCCAAGTGAGGCAGGAAATTCTACACCATCGCCTGGTGGCAGCTAACCAGGATTCGTGTCACCACTTGCTATTGGGTCACCCATCAAAGCACCTCCAGAAAACATCCTGCCAGCTCCTGAGCTCAGCATAAGTCAAGCCGGGGGCAGCTGAGGAACTGGATCACAGGGGGGAAATGGGTAGGGTCATAAAGAAGAAAGATCCCCTGTCTTCTCTTCAGGCACCATTTCCAGTAAAGCGGGAAATGCATCTCCAGCCCATGCAGAGGAAGCCAGTCAGCCACAAACACAGGTCGCTGGGAACCAAGGGGACATCAGTGAACTCGGCCAACCCTGGGCGTTAACTGTCCCATAGAGTGCACAAGAGCAGCAGTATCAGGGTGGATTCGGTGTGAGACTCACCCGTCTCATAGTAATCGTACAGTCTCACAGTGGCTGGCTTGAGATTCTTCACAGGGAAATCTTGCTCCACAGAAAAGGTGAATGTTGTCTCTTCTTTAGTCAGCTATGGAAAGAGGGAGCATGTGTGCATGGGATGAGCTTTATGTCCTGGATAGGTACAGACCCCTCCCCATGGCTCTGGGCTCTGACTCCTTCCTTCACACTGTCCCAGAGCCCAGGCAGTGTGAAAATGCTCTCCTGACCTGCAGTTGTGCCTACCCCTCACAAAATGTCACCTCTTCATTGCACTCAGCCCAGATCTGGCCCCTCCTGCTGCCCCACACAGGGCTCTCCCTGGGGCTTGTGCATGTCTGACCTCAGCTCCCACTGCTGTGGCTCTGTTCACATCTGTGCTCCCCACCTGCAGAGCCCTCAGTGCTCACCTGGTCCAAGTAGAGTATCACTCCATCAGCAGACAGCTCCAGCTTCTTCACCAAACCCTCGTTCTCCAGCTAAGAGCAAAGGGAGGGAAAGGCTCAGGGGAGAGCTGACGGCCAGGACTGCACCTCTGCTGGGGCCTCTGAGACCAGACACCAAATACCTCTTCCTGCAATGGGTGGCAATACCACTGCTGCCAGTGACACCTATTCCATGAGCACCTACTACAGGGAGGGGAGAGCAGTAGGTGAGCTGGGCAGGTCAGCTATACTGAACGGCAGGAGCAAAGGGCAAGTCCCAGTCGGTGCTTGGGTGGGAGACCAGAGAGGCATTAGAGGGTGCTGTGCTGTTGACTCCATACCCAGTCAGTGGGTGGTAAAATAGGGAGGCTCTCCCTATTTTGCCTGGCACTCTTCTGGGTCTGTTTTGCTATGAGGACAGGGCTCTCTCCCTTTGGGAAGTCCCCTGGTATCCAGCAGTCGGGGAGGGTTGCCCAGCTGGGATCTCACCTTCCTCACGGACTTCTTGTCAGGGAGGTAGCCGGATGGCAGTTTGACCTCGAGGATGGCCATGTTGGTGGCTGAGCGTCCTCCGCTGTACCTGTAGCAGCAGAGTCAGGCAATGGCAGTGCCCTGGTGTGTAGACCAGGAGAGAAGACTGGGCAAAGGGGAGGCCTCGTGCTCCCTTGACCTTCAGGCATCTGTAATGTCCTTGGCCTGCTCTGTGCTATGACCCTTGTTTGCCCTCCCAGGACAAGGGCAGAGTCCTCTCTCTAGAAGCCACTTGTACAGGAATGAGCTTAGTCCCAGCTGCCTTCCAGGAGCCCCTGTACTTCCCATCCCTGTGGATAGATGCCTCCATGCAAGCAAATCCTGGCCCACCCCCACCCTGCAGCAGGATGTCTTTACCCCAGCCCTGTCCCTGTTCCCTGGGCCTGTCCCTGCCCCAGCAGGCCATGGCAGGGCTGGGCTCATACCGAGCATGAAGGATGAGGCTGAAGTGGGTTCTGGCATTCCCAGTGCACTCCTTAGGGTCTGTCTCCACACGCAGGTCAAAGGTCGTGGCGCTTTTTGGTGGCAGGTTGTAGCGCAGGGTCAGCTGGGAGAAGAGCAAGTGGGTGAGGGACAGAGCACGCAAGGTATCAGCCCAGAGCAAGCTCTGCTGATCCCTGGAGTCGCAGTTCTCACCTGCACCAGGGCACAGCCCTGTCCCTGGCTCGTCACTGTGTACTCCCCAGGGATCTGCGGCAGAGTTGCCTGCTGCAGCACCAGCTGGTTGGTGTTGTCCACATGGAATTCCTGCGT